TGGTACGCTGTTTGCTGATGCATTTTTGATAGACTCACTAAGAGTCGGTTTTTCATGCCGTTTGTGTGAGGTGAAATATATGTCTATACGTGACTGTGCTTCGAAAGGTAAAAGACCGGCCTAGAATATATCTTGATTGTTTTGATATCAAAGGTCCATTTTATGGATGCTCAGAAGCATTAAATTCGTTAATTTCTTGTCGCGTGTGCGGCGTCTACCACCTTCTCTGAGTTACAGTCAACGTCTTCAGAGTATGCGGATTTTGGGGCTTCGTAGCGAGTTTGTTGATGAGCTTGTTTAAATTTTATACTTGGATGTGCGTCTGAATTCTAAGGTCTTCGAAGATAAATTCATGGAAACTGAGGATTGATTCGAATCAGAATGTATTTCCTAGAAAGCTTGACAGTAAAAAATTATAGTTGCTAGGTATTTGATCAGTCTGTTTCCGAAATCTTTCACTAGTAAGGAGAAGTCATATGGCACAGTGCAGTCTAGTGCACCTTAATCCAGAGCTACAGAAGAGCCTAAAGTCTGGGCGCTGAGACTTTGATACCATCCAAGCTCTTTCTTGCAGATACGATAGCCTTTGGCTGCCGAAAAAAAGACATTTGATGAGCCAGAAATACATTTTATTTGTGTGCAAGCAGAAACTATACAAGGTAATTTGTGGTTAGGTCCGTGCCGGTTGCCGTTCGGATTGGGATGAAGATTGGGTTGAACTGGCGTACTTCCTGATCCTCATGTAGTGAAAACAGGGAGAGCGAATCATGCCTTCAGACTAATGTGGTTTATTCTTTCACCCATGTCCTGTTTTTCTACGCAGTTGCTTCGGTAATCAACGCTGCTTCTGTTATTCTGACCTATCCATTACGTCCGTCCTAAAAGCACATTTTTCAGTGGTTTGTGGGCTATCAGCATTCCCTCTGGCTGTGGTAGACGTGTTGTGAGGCCGAAAATGTTTTTGTTATACGGTAGGATGATTCGTCAAACTCGCCTCCACTCTGTCAACCGAATCAGGTGACAGGAATAGTGGCAGTGGTATCGACAGGTCAAAGACGTAATTGGAGAAGGGTCTGCGCTAAGCCCTCATCCGAACGTCGATCAATCAGGTAGTTAGTCAAGCGTCGAACACACAGGACTGACCATCGAAACGAGGAATTACAATCAGGAGCCATCACCGCTTCGGCAATACATATATAAACACAAGCGCAGTACCCTTAATCACTACACACCGGTATACTACGGCTCACCGCTGAATCCCCACGCCCTAATCGGTTAGTTACAAAACGTTTGCAGCCAAATTGTCCAGTTAAGCGGACAGAACAACAGTCAGAGAGGAGTTTGATGATAAATAACGATAGCCTGGAATGCATACCCGGCCTAGTGTATGCGGCATGTAAGAAATATTGAAATGGCCGACGTGGTGAGAAATTATTTGCATTGTTGTGGTTCACTGTTGTACTTGGGTACTTGTACTTTCTACTAAGGCACCCAAGCGGACATTGAATTTGATGTGGACCCCCACCCAAAGCCTGAAACGAGGGCAGCGTCAGCTGGCGTAACATTACTGATATAATCTAACTTTTGAGCAACCAATATGTTCAAACCACCACAGACCACTGCGATGTTGTGTACGTACTGACCACCTTGATAAGTGATCATCCTCAAGCGTGGCACGGACAAGTACAGAAGAGATTAACGGTTCAGGGAGGCACAAAAACCGTCAAACCATGGTGGAATCCAGTGTATTCGGTATGGACTCTCTTCATGTCGATTTAATCGTTATTTACCGTGCCTGTTTGAGGGCACTCATATTGTTTCCGTCCCGGTACGAGAGCGCAAAGACAAATTTTACAAACCCACACTTTCGCTTTCACAATACGTATCCTCAACACGGACCATTTCTAAAAAGAATCACTTTTCTTCCTAGTGTTTAGAGGTAGAAGGAGCATCACATCCGAAAACGAAAAACACCAATATCCTACCATGATTAATCCAGTTGTTGCCAGATACTAGTATAGCTCCTTCAGTTCATGAATTTTGGAATGTAAGTCCTTCAAATCACTTGTTTGGAACTGTGCATATAGGCACAAACATCAGCAGCAGCATCACCGCAAGTGCAATGAGATCAAAATCTAGCAACTGAGCCTTCAACTGTTCACTTTGTTACCCAAATATTTCCCGCCACGATGGACGCCACTACTGAAAGTTAAAACGTATGTCCAGAATTGACCGACCAGTAGTTTGGCTTTGGTAATATTGCATGGTATATTTGCATCAGTCTAAAATCCGAAATAGCATGAGAATTTCATGTATGTTAAGTGTTGTTTTTTATAGTGATGCACTTTATCTCGCCAAAGCTGGTTCGTAATCGTTTATGTTCGCAAAGGCCTTTGAGATCACTCAACCTTTCACTTTTTTCAACCCTCCATATCAACAGTCAGGCATATGCTCACTGAGTCAATTCTGTCTTTCATGTGTGGGACTCAGATAACGTGATACAATATACTGAGAATCTTCAGAAAACTACTAAAGCAAGCTGGGTGTCGACTGCTTACCGATTTCTTACCCAAGTTTGAAATTCTGGGTTCCCCGATCCAACATACAGCAACGGCTCGAAGATATAGATTTCGAGAAGCTGAAATTTCAGTCGGAAATGCAAACAATTCCATCCATTCAGGCTAGGATCAAACTCATAGACATGGAAAACAACAAAACGCGATGGAGATGTACTGAGTAAGGTCGATTTCAGGGTGACGCGATAGCATGCAACAATATCTCTCAAGAACAAGGTTTCATCTGCACCGATCCCATCATTACAATTTCACAGAATACAAAGGGTTTTGTGCTACATTGTGTAACACTGTCGGAAAAGCATAGCTGGTGTGTCTTGGTGATCTGCCGTGAAGCCGATATCGCACTTTTATGTCACTTTCTGCGAGACCCGTTCCGTCTGGTCCAAGATTTTGTTTCGATAGATTTTCGAAGAATGCACCGGGTCCATGTCACTGCAACTGTAAACGAACTGAAAACGTGTGTGACGGGAGGTGGTTTGAACGCGCATACTCCGGAACATGATCTGAAAAACAGTACATTTGGTAGTAGATGAATCCGGCTGAGCAGATGAAAATGTTCAGCATGAAGTTCCAGAATCGGCCTGACGCCATTGAAAACATGCTCGTTTTAAATGTTAGGCGCAAGATATTTCTTATCCCATGAGTCGTCGTGCTCAAAGGAGTCTTTTTCTGAGTATACGGAAATAACATTTTCCAAGTAACCACTGATCAGACGAATCGGCTTAAGTAGTGTGAATTCCACCAATAACTAGTCTGACCCGTGAAACACCATCCTTTTTTGGTATCGTTTATGTATGTCATTTATGAGTTGTCGGGGAAATCTAACAGGCTGCAAATGTTGGTTATTCCAGAGAACTCTGATATCCCATCCAGCCACTATATGACTGGCAATGCTGGGAAAAACAAGTTTCCATCAGAATCCCGTTGCAAGGTACAGATATTTCGGAATGTCTATTTTCCAGAAACATCATTTACGGGCAGTGTGCAAAGAGCAACAGGAAAAATAATATAGCACATACAACTTTCTGGGTCTGATGTTAAAATGCGGGTTGATGCTACATCTCGTGGGCTGTTCAAGTGGACTCTCCAAGTTGTCTACAGGCGATGCTGTTAGCTTCAAAATGTGGGATTTTAGTACACAATGAAGCTGTTTTCTCTAGTATTCAATCATGGACATTTAGAGAAAGAAGGTGCACTGCAACCTAATCACAAATATCTTATCAATTGTGACCCCAAATAAGATACTTCTGAACAGAGAATCAACATTAAGGGATTATCAACAAATCAACATGATTCCAGATCGATTCAACTGAATCTCTCGAAAGATGGCTTATTAGAAAATTTAGAGGTAAGGGGAAGAATATCCACTAACTATCCGGCAAGATTTAGTAAGCTGTAGTATTCATGTTTGGGATTGGTTTTAACGGCAAACCTGATTTTTACATATTCACTCAACCTGGTTTCCGGAAGTTCTGGTGAGTTTCTATGGATAGTTTTTAGAGCGCTTTGCAACGTCACTCTTTACCAACAAATTATGTGGAAATAACATTAGAGTCTCGCAATTCATAATTTTCCGGTGAGCTAACCATAGTGGCACTTTGCACAGTTTCAGTGGGGAGTATTGGGCATCATAGTTAATCTGCATGGAAAGTTGAAAATGGGTCGAAAGTCTGGTAAGCATGTCTGTTTGTTGTCATACGCCTCAGCATTTACGTCAGTCCGCTAAAGCCTGCCTAAAATCTAGTACTGGTCTGGGAATAACCACTCTGGTTGAATCATTCTACATGGCTTAAACAGGAACAGTTTTGAGGTAATCATACGCCAAACAGGAAAAAAATTTCAATATCATGGACCACCCAGAAAGCGATTTGAGACGGCCAAGGATGTACTCCTTACGCAAACAGCTATGATTGCCTTTATTTTTTGATATAGATGTTTAAATTTCTAAATTTTGAATCAGTTTCAGCGTAATACAATGAGGTAATGCTTCCAGAAGATACTTTCGTCTTAGGTTGAAGTTTTTGGGGATCATTGTAATCTAAAACTTGTTGATTGTGTTACCCGAACAGCAGACGTTCACCGCCGATGCGGAATCCGTGAGACTCATTAGTCGCTTGATTCTGTACTGTTTAAATATTTTTTCATCCTGACTACTGTCCCAGTTTCTAAAACAAATCTGTCGCGAGTGAAATATTTTCGGGAATGCGATATTGACAGCGAAGCCGAGAATGTTCTGGTCGACCAGTTTTACTCAATATGTTAACCCTTAGAATCAGCTTTAAAGTAGACCGAGCGCGGGTGATTATCGACTGATTCTGATTAGGAGTCTGAGATAATGGGTTTCAAGGTTTTTGCTCACCTTGAAATTCTAGCTTTGCAATGGATCACTTGGTTTGCTTTACGGTATACGTTTCCAAACTCCAGATTGTATACCAACATCCGAACTGGAAATGGCGGAGACTATTGAACGCAGCCAAATTGGACATTTGCTAGTCACTCCGGTAAGTCACTTCAAAGAGTATGTGTGACGACAACGAAAACAAATTTTTCTTACCTACGTATACAATTGTTTTGTGTCTTCTACCGGTCGAAGTCAGTGGTGAAATATGGAACACAAATGGAGCACTGATTGCTCACCGCTTATTGCTTTGAGTTTAACTCCATGGTTGTTCTAGGCAGTTTTCTGTTAGATATGTTAGGCACGACTAGATAATCACACACTCCCACTACAGGATCACACCCAAAACGCTACACAGTCTAATTTGTTGTTTACTTGCTTAGACTAACCGTGTATCCATCTTGATGTGTTTCAAAAAACAAAGGCCAGGGCATCGGTGATCACTTCAGTTACACTCTATTACTTCATAAGCTCAGCTGCCAATTTAGGCATTCGCAATGTCAGTTACTGCGATCTGAGAAGAGTGACGACTAATATACTACTACTAAAAATAGTAATAATTCGGTACAATATTAGAATATCAAACCCAAGTTCTTAGAAATTCCCAAGCAGCTCGTATACAATACAGTCTGGTCAGCTGATGAACTGCTTAGTATTGTTTGAGCGGGTCAGCAAGTTGGGTGTTTGCATTAGTAAGCAGGTGATTTTATAGTTTCTAGGTCACTCCTGTGTAAAACCACATAGCTGATACATTTTCGTGCATGTCGTCAGATCCAATTAGAGTCAGTATGTAAACAGGCGTGGCAGAGACTAATATTATAGTTATTTTTTAGCTTTTTGCCATCCGTTTAACCCAATTTTACGCTGTTGTTGCAGCTAAAATAGAATATATAGAATGACTGTCACTAATCATAACCCTTATAAGCTGCTCATAATCTGTTTATTTTCTGAGGGAACTGTCACATCTGGTCGTTTCAGCACCCCACCGATAAACTAGGTTGTCACAGAGTGCTTCATTTCGTAAATTCCGAGGAAAAACGAACTCCCTGTTCTATGATAATATGTTTAAAGCAAAACTATTCTTACTGCATATCCTGTTATACCAAACTTCCTCTTGCTAGCCGTTATCCGTCACCAAAAGCGATGCTCTTAGGCCCTACACCGCGTCCATCAGTATTTGTCTATCCAGAGAGCTATGTCTTCAGCATAAATGATATGCACACTTTTGTGTCAACTGATAATCTGGCAGATAAAATGCAGAATACTCCTGTGATACCCTTCTATGACTCCAGCAGCCGGAGAGTGAACAGACACGCCACGAACAAAAAATCACAAGTGTTTTCTAATGTAACTAGGACTACCTTTTTATCGAGCTTTACTCCGCCACAGCCAGCCAGATAGTAAACAGTTATTTTGACGAGAAATCGTTAAATAACTCTAAGCTTGTTCAGATCTCACTGCATACGATTATCTAGCTTCAACTGCTACAGAGGTACAACCGACTTGCTTAGTTTAGCTCTACCCCACTAGCAATAAAAGGACTCCTCCAACCGCTACCTCAGTTTTTCTGACTTTCGATATAGTCTCCAAAATTGAAAGTCTACTGTATAGCTGTGTGCATTAAATAGAACGTTCCTAATTCTGCGGGCTGATTTCGTAAAACTGACATCAACTTTCGTGACCAACAGCAGTGCTGCGGTATATTCCTAGCTGTCGCTTTGAAAGGAAACTTTCCCCTTAATTATTTGCAAGCAAACCCTTGAACATAGTCCAAGTTTACTAGCTTACTTCCATGAAATCAGGTTGGAAGCTGAAGAGTATTCTCAATTACTTGTTGATATTTATCGAGTCCTTACTCACCGATATGTAACCCAGTAGAAAAATGATTCCGAAACATGATGTGATTCTATTGTCGATGGAGCGAGTAAAGTTTTGCAACACGTTGGTTGCGCACTCACCTGTTGTCCCCACTCCTTTAGTAAACATCGCTCAATGCACAATGTGGGAAACACTTATGACGCTCACTCACACACACGAGTCCTGGATAATGAAATCCCAGGAAACGTGCCGACACAAGGCATTGTCGGTCAGTGTCGTAAACCCTTCAGGTGTTGCAAAGTACAACAACAGCAAGGTCTACTAAAGATCGATGATACTGTCTATGCTACGGAACCGATCCGGTGACAAACTCCAAGTCATTGCCGATCACAGAAACAGAGGACTGATGCAGGGTATCATTATGTGTGTGTGTGGATCGGCTCGAAATAAAAGGGAATTCCAGTGCAAATACCTTGATAAACAGTTCTACGAAACCTACGCGTCTGCTGGTTGGTTGTTGCGCACAATGCCATACGCTCATTAATTAACGTTTCATATGGAATTCGGGTAGTCGCTCCTCTCAAACCCTGGTTACATGGAAAGCCAGTTTTCAAAAAAGCTTAACACTTGAATTCAAGGGTAGATAGGTGTTTGGATTTCTGGATTCAAGCTTGTGTTGAACAATACTTGTCCAACCTACCTTATTTGTCTTAAATACACATGAATGTATATACTCATATACATATATTTACATATATACGTTTATATATATATATATATAACCCGCCAAAATAATCAGTACAACAGACTCATTTGATGCTGAGGAGATCCATGGAGCAACGGTTTATGCTAAAGTTAACCTTAATGCAGACTAATACTCCGATAAGATTGTTTGGACTCGGGAAATGATACCAAAGTAATCTTCACTGTACTCATAAAAAGCGGATCTGCAAAAGAAAAACTGATGGATAAGATAGTTAGACTTGCGTTTGCTGCGGAGATTGTGAAAAACATGGGTATCCGTGTTCTCGTCCTGTGTTTATGCTACTTTTATTTTCGTGCTATTGATCAACCTATTTCACTCAGGACCGATTTGAAGTCCCGCGGAACGCATTGTGCTGAGAATAATAAACTCCAGGAAAAGTATTGGGCATCTAAAATTAAAAGCATCTGAACAATCTAACCTAACTTTCCTTGTTTATATGATTACACCTAGTTCACAGCCTTTTACCGACTTATGACTTCCAGAGTCGCAAAAATATACAAAAGTTCAGAATGCCTGTTGCCCAATCCCCACTAAATTATCTGGACATCGTAGAATTGGTTGATTGTTCAAAGTAGTCGTGCCAAGACACTGTGAATAACTTCAGTCAAATCATTGTACAGAAACATCAAACAATAACACCGAATTCACTATCCACCTGGTCGTGCCATTTTGAATAAATTAGATGAGATTGGATATGGACAGCCACTCAAATAAACCAAGCGTCTGACTTTCAGTATGGTGGAATTTTTACACCAAAGAACAAACGGAATGCACGTATCGTTTGCAAAAGGAACTTGATTGATCAGCTTAACCACCCGACCATGTGGGGTTTTATCTTGCTGTCCCTCTTGTCCTAAACTGAACAGCTGTTCTGATGCAAAGTCATGGTCTGTTTGCTCATGTGCTGCACACGCCTCCCTCGCTCTCGCGCTATCTACTGTGTTTACTTTCCTCGTAGCGCACGCAAGAAACAAAGTGTATTGGGACAGCGTGTGCGAGTAGACAGTGACAGACCCACGTTACTAGCATCGTCAACCTAGCGGGCCTGTGATGCGATGGGAAAAGAGTTAGCTGTATACTTTCAGGGTGGGTAAACAGCCGGGATGTTAGTGAGTCAGGTCGGACTCATTGCCCATTTGATGTTATCAGGGCTGAATATAGAGACAGTCACAATCACAAGGTACATCGAATCGACAAGGACACTGTCCGTATCTCAAACGTTCTTCAGCACGCTACCGAAAGCGAAGCCTCAGTAGCTGAGGTACAAACTTCTGCTGAGTAGATGAGGTACTGCTGAAAGTCCATGGAGCAACGGTTTATGCTAAAGTTAACCTTAATGCAGACTAATACTCCGATAAGATTGTTTGGACTCGGGAAATGATACCAAAGTAATCTTCACTGTACTCATAAAAAGCGGATCTGCAAAAGAAAAACTGATGGATAAGATAGTTAGACTTGCGTTTGCTGCGGAGATTGTGAAAAACATGGGTATCCGTGTTCTCGTCCTGTGTTTATGCTACTTTTATTTTCGTGCTATTGATCAACCTATTTCACTCAGGACCGATTTGAAGTCCCGCGGAACGCATTGTGCTGAGAATAATAAACTCCAGGAAAAGTATTGGGCATCTAAAATTAAAAGCATCTGAACAATCTAACCTAACTTTCCTTGTTTATATGATTACACCTAGTTCACAGCCTTTTACCGACTTATGACTTCCAGAGTCGCAAAAATATACAAAAGTTCAGAATGCCTGTTGCCCAATCCCCACTAAATTATCTGGACATCGTAGAATTGGTTGATTGTTCAAAGTAGTCGTGCCAAGACACTGTGAATAACTTCAGTCAAATCATTGTACAGAAACATCAAACAATAACACCGAATTCACTATCCACCTGGTCGTGCCATTTTGAATAAATTAGATGAGATTGGATATGGACAGCCACTCAAATAAACCAAGCGTCTGACTTTCAGTATGGTGGAATTTTTACACCAAAGAACAAACGGAATGCACGTATCGTTTGCAAAAGGAACTTGATTGATCAGCTTAACCACCCGACCATGTGGGGTTTTATCTTGCTGTCCCTCTTGTCCTAAACTGAACAGCTGTTCTGATGCAAAGTCATGGTCTGTTTGCTCATGTGCTGCACACGCCTCCCTCGCTCTCGCGCTATCTACTGTGTTTACTTTCCTCGTAGCGCACGCAAGAAACAAAGTGTATTGGGACAGCGTGTGCGAGTAGACAGTGACAGACCCACGTTACTAGCATCGTCAACCTAGCGGGCCTGTGATGCGATGGGAAAAGAGTTAGCTGTATACTTTCAGGGTGGGTAAACAGCCGGGATGTTAGTGAGTCAGGTCGGACTCATTGCCCATTTGATGTTATCAGGGCTGAATATAGAGACAGTCACAATCACAAGGTACATCGAATCGACAAGGACACTGTCCGTATCTCAAACGTTCTTCAGCACGCTACCGAAAGCGAAGCCTCAGTAGCTGAGGTACAAACTTCTGCTGAGTAGATGAGGTACTGCTGAAAGTTATATAAACGAAACTGTTCAATAAACAATTGAGATCAGGGGAGAAATTGTATTACACGGGAGCGTCTAAGTTATCTGCATCTGGTACAAGTAGAGGAACCGAAAATCGTATAGTAGTGACACCCTTTTACAACACAGCCACTGTACGAAAGCAGAAGTACGTCCACGTAGCCCAATTTCATTCAGGAAAATTGAAAAAGCGAGTGGTTGTTTCAGAAGTGCTGTGTGCCTGACTTCGAAATTGTCATGCTATCGACAACAGGAAGCCTTCGATTTCATGTGCCGGCTACCCCTGAAACGATCACGGCTGGTACGATCTAGATTAACGTCGACCACAGGGACGATTGGAATCCAAATATATGACTCACATCTTTGCGTCCAGAAGAAACTTGTGTGACCTCTGAATATGAGTTGGCATGTGCCAAATTCGGTCCACAAACAGAGTTGGTTGGAAGCCATCCTTACCCAGGAGATTTCCCGGGAACATCACAAACGAGAGATTCAGTTGGATTCTAGGTGAGTCCCTCGAAGAACTAAGTTAGTTTGCAAATGAGTGTATTTTGTTAATTTCCTACAATTTGGTTTCAAGTAGAACATAAGGTTGACGCAAACCCGGGGACTGCGCCTACCTGATGGGCCCAACTCGGGGACTGCGTCTACCTGATGAGCCCCAAGAAGGGCAAAACCGATCGTGGGCTGTCGAGGGGGTTTTCAGCAACCTTATGAGTAGTGCTTACGAATATACTTATTCCTATTCTTATCTCACGACGTAAACACAAACTTTGTTCTTCTGAACGCAATTTGCTGTTTGTTGACTGTCTGAATAATCTGGCAGTTCCAAAACGATGACAGCAGCAAACAAAACGTCTTTTGGACGTGCATTAGGAACGATTACCCTAATTGGAGTAGCGCAACCAGTATGCATGAACTAAACTAATTTCTCCGGCAGTATTCAGCGCCCAACGGGAAGATCATTCATCAGAAGTGACGTGTAGGGTGACGTGTAGCAAAATCAGATTGCTGAGAACCAGAGCCGTGTTACCGAGTTCTCGAAGTACTCCGCTATTCCACAAACTATCCGCCAGGGACAACTTGAGTGCCCTAGCAAATGGAAACCAATATCTAACCACTTACTTGGTCGCCAGGCTGTGAATTACGAAAAATTATTTTCATCAATATGTCCAACATCCTCACGCATCGTCAATAACTAGAAGTACAACTATGCTCGCGTTTGATCTGCTGCTCGTGACTCAGTTACCAGTGAGCTAACTAGCATGTGTTCATTGCTTAAAACACTGTCATATTATGGTGCATGAGACAAACTACATTCCGACAGGTGGTGGTGGTGGTATCTCTTTTCAGGTGCAAGAAATGTATCTTTCTATCATTGCTTTGATATCAAAATCGATAAGTGAAAAACTGTCTATCATCCCCACAAAGATTATTTAAGCTGGGTGAAAATTAAAGAGAGGGGAACCTAATACATACGGAGTTTTTGGTGGAATGTTCTCAGTTCGAGTCTGTGAAATTTTCTTACAGGCATCCTGAAGGCACACATGTCTCCCCCTCGTTGTACATGTGTCGTCGTCCTTCTTGCTTATCTAATTAAATGCACGCATACACGTAAGAAAATCACCACAGGACAGCTGAAAAATGTTAGCCAAGGCAGTGTTATTGACGCCAGCATGCAGCTGATCCCATAAGTGGAAATGAACAGTTGGCAATCAGTATGACAGCAATGTTCTGCGCGTTTGTAGGAAAAACTGAATTCTATTCAATAAAGGGGACGTACCTGAATTGGCAACTTGTCGCCTCCTTTTATGTGAGCAAACCGGTGTGAATAGGGACAGAAGTTAACTGGGTTAAAATTGTAGAGAAATCCTCAATGCTTTTGTCCGCAAGTCATGTGTAAGATGCGTTTAAGCAGGCAGACCGAATTTCAATCGTTTTAGTTTTTTCAGACTGGACGAAGGGGCTCGATTCAAGGCAGTCATATACAATGTTCTGCAGTTTCAGCATACGCTGGCTGATAGTCACCACATACCGGTGTTATGTGGTGTTGTATAGACACCTAATGGCTGGCGGTTCACATTAATCTAGGCCGTCTATCTAATCATTATGATTTTGGAAGTAAAATATCAATGCGAAATATAGTGGCATCAAGTTCCAATTCTTCCTCGCAAGTCATAAGGAATGTGCTTCTAGAGGCAGTCGGGTTGCAGTATTTTGGATGGCTGATCACATCTTGTCGGGCAGTAACAAGATGCATTGATTCTTCTTGGAAAAACGGTGGATAGTGACCTCCTAATTCTAAGAAAAATACGTGCGTAAACAGTCTAAGTCGCATAGTATTTCAATAGCTCAGACAGGCTATCTGATCGAACTAATTTTGCTGAAGACTTTCAATCCCTAAGTCAGGCGACTACTGTCATTAATGAACCCATAAATTCACCGCTTCACCATTTTGCTACCCCTTATTTCTGCACGTCGCAGATGGTTCAGAGATGTAGTATCTAAAACCAATCACCGTATAAGCAGGTCAGCTGCGCTAACTACATGTTCGTCTTCCAAGGGTGAGGAACAATGTGCATTAATAGCTTCACCTCCATAATTTCCTATGCAGAGCAAATTATATCCAAACACTTCTGAATGGAAACTCAATCGTGCACGATACAATGGGTCTACTCTTTCACGAGCATATTCGGAAGAATCTCTGAGGATCTCTCGACCATCCGATGGTGAGTCTTGTTGGCAGCCGACATTGTTTTTGGCGACTTTCTTTAGCCATGTGCAACTTTCTCATTTGTACAATAACCTGTCTCGACTGAATGAGCCAATTGCATAATCACTACAATGATAATGCTTAGAAGCGAAGTCATGTTATTCTATGGACTTTAAAGTACTGTCAACTAAACCTGTACTTTTGAAAAACCTTTCTGAACCTAAATGTTACAAAAGAAGGAGAAGCCGTAATCATTGTTTACAAACAATCATTCAAAAGAGGATTTGTGAGATGATCCCGCTACCGTTTCCGAAAACGAGACTTTAAGACGATTGCATCCAATGAGATTTTATGATTCAGTACGTAGTGTGAGGTGATCGAGGGATGAGTTTTCGCCCTGTAAATGAAACGAACAGTCACAAGTAGCTCAAAGGAAGAACAGAATTCACTCAGTCTATAAAACTTCCATCGGAGAAGTTGAGCAGGAGAGTCAACCAGCGGAAATCGGTATCAATGGATACTAATAAATGCTCAAGTTTCCTACTTCCGAACGACCGGCTACAGCAAGCTAGTTTTCGTAACAAAATTTTGCTTTACTAGATCTCCGTTAGCATGCCCGCCCGACTGTGTAATGATTTGCACAGCAGCTGACACGTGATAAGTGCAACTGACCAGGGGACTACGAAAGGTGCGTTGCACTGGAGACATACGACTGATGGCACATACAATGTTTTGGCCCAAGTTCTTGTGGTTCCGAAACACCGGGGCCAGCTCCGCTTTTGTTAAGTCGATTAGGTTCATTCCATTTCTTATGTATCGGAAAGTTTGCTAGTTGGCACTAGTGTGCTTCATTCGCGGCCTGGCTGAAAACAAAAGACGCTTCGTCATCATGTTATGATGAGATGGCAAGTTATTTGGGTAGACTCGGTATGACGTATTTTTTGCGATCGGGTCGTTTACCAAAAAACCGCTAGAGAAATGCCGGGCTAAGTAAACAGATCTGGCACTTAACAACTTACTTACTGAAACTCGTCAGGGTGGGATCCCTTCATTCACACTATTAGCCTCTACCCGAGTTCCAGTTTTCTTCTCGTTTGCTTAGATATCGTAAAAAAAATGGCAATAGATCACGTATTGGTACTTACAAAAACGTTTCGGTCACCCATCCACAGCAGGACTAATCACTTACGGTAGTCAGATTCTGTGTTTCGCCTCAGCTACTGGGTGACCAAAATAGGCCGATCACTATTCGCCGCTGTGCTAGCCACAAGTTAATAAGCCTGGCGCAGGACATTCAGTTGAAATGGACCACCTCAGATGAGAGTTTCAGATGATAGTCAGTCTTCCGCCAAGACCAAATTCGTGTGCCAATGAGAGAAGTTGCTATGTTATGTCCAATGTGGGTTCAAGTAGGACATAGATTCGACGGAAACTCGTAGACTCCGCCTACCTGACGAGCCCCTAGAATGGCGAAACCGGTTGCGGGTTGTTAAAGAATTGTTAAAAGCCTTATGAGTAGTGTGTTACGCTTACACCGTTTTCCTCTTATTATTTTCTCAGAGTACCACATTTCTTACGGTGTGCTAAACCAGTTGTCAGTGCTTATCTCACTTGCATGCTTGTTTAATTAATTGCAACTATTTGCTTGTTTATGTGTTCACATAGAACCAAAATTATATTTTATACCGTGTCCGTATAGAACGAAAAAAGGTTGCCTTCAATCATACCCCAACACGTTTAGCTTTTTTGCTCAAATTTGGTCGATTCCCTATTCATCGAGAAAATCTTCCGTTTTCGAGGGACAGAAAATGTCGTATGGGTCGTTCTTGAGCTTGGCAATTAGTCTCTCGGGGATTGAGTTTGTGCATCAACCGTCCGAGATGTCGAATAGCGCCCATCTCAGTGGTTGCACTCGAAGAATGGCATGAACAAACCGTAATGAAATATTGTTAGGCCCCTTTGTTCGCTAGAATCCGTCTGGCGGCGTTTGTGATCATACTGGTGGTGGTTCGAATTGCGATCTAGGTGTGATCATACTAGATGTTTTTATTCATAGATTTTTTCTTAGAAAGGGCGCTTTGCTGAAGCAACAGTTTAAAGGAGAATATTTTTAGTCGATCTAAAGACTCAATGTAACAAGGTATTACCTCACAATGGCGCTGATGAGGAAACCCGTCAGAAAACTAGCCCACAATGTTTGCAAAGTAAAAGAATACCTAATGATGTAAGACCGTTTTGCGCACACACACACACACAGACAGACGCACGCACACTTTTCAAAGTAAGTTGACAGACTACAGAAACATCGTATTATGAAGAATCACCGATGCGATCAACCGCTTATTTGGAACTTGACCAAAAGCCTCGCTCATCCGAGATTAGCCTGTCAATGACACCTCGCATGAAATCCAGTCTCAGTAACTTTACGTGAAGTGCGTTTAACTGAGTGTTTATAATGCACCTGATTTTTTCATTCTGACTACGCAAAGTTTTGGCTTATGTTACGAGTATGTTAGTAATTCCGTGGTGTGTCCACTGAGCGCTTTCTGCCTCGACCTAATATGCAAATGCTACGGGAATATATGCGAATATTTCCCATCTCCCTTACTTTTCAAAAACAGCTCCACATCCGATTGACTGGTAATGTAACTGACAGATATAGGAACCAGTGTACAAGCTTCCAAATTAATACATGATATCATATTTCGTTTCATGATTTTATCAGCTAATTCGAGCGATTTAAAATGCCTCCAGAACCGCATGGATAGATCCAACAAGGACAACAGTTTAGAATGGTTCGGCGTCCATCCAACTGGCCCCATGTGGTATGCAACGATGTTCTCGTGGCTACCCAAACGTCGAATCCGATCATTATCATCATCACCATCATCATTGTCAGCTGAAATAACCGCGTGCTCGTTGTACAATAGTTGTAGCTGTCGTAGTTTCGTTCACCAGTGATTCGGAGAGGTGGGGTATGTAGCTCCGCATTGGAAGCGAGAGCTGATAAATTCGTGCGTAAATACAGCGCTGTAGGTGGACGGTGAAGTGGGGGGTTGGAGCTATGCATTGAAGGCAAGAGCTTGGATGCATGAGCGCCAATTGAGGACGCGATTGGCCCATGTCTGACAATGTCTCTAACCATTGATACGGCCCGTCTCGGGGTCTCCATACTGGAAGACGGCAATGACCATCGCAGCTGAGTTTGCTGGTAATGGCTTCTATACTTCGCTGCCAATTCATTGTTTGACCGCCTCTGGCTCTCTTCCACCCTTCACGTGGTTGTCCGAAAAGAGCCCTTCGAGGAAGTCGGTCGACTGGCATACGAAGTACGTGACCAAGTCGAATCTGATACAAAGTCGATAAGCTCTCAAACCAGTGAAATGGCTGCAAATCGCACCTTGTTTCATTCAGGTGTTTTGAAGTCCCTCAAAGTGGAGCACCACATCTGTTTGAATGTTTGAATGTTCTAGACGTATTCATGAAGATTTGCATTTACAATTGACCCCGTTCAGTTAACTAGAACGACCAAAATATACAGATTGTAACGGTCGCCGTTAGCCAACTTAGAAGACCCATGCAGAGATTCAAGGTTGAAATAGAGGTTGCTTTTCTAGCTACGTATAACACAAGAAGCAATGACTGCAATCCGGAGGGTAGAAATGTTACTGTGCATATGTGAGGATCTGATTCACCATCAACAGGAATTTCGCCAGAAGAATGTGTTTAATCAAAATTCTGAACTGATTTGGTCATGCACACCGCAACTCGAATCGTCGTCCTTCCAATTCAAAGTGTGAGAACCTGGCAGCAAGATATCTTCTAATATAAAAGAGCTTTATATGGAAAACCCTAAAAATACTTACCAAATCCTGAGATTGTAGAAACCTCACCGAGTGCCACGTTATCCCCAAAATGTGGGCCAGCCAATAAGTGGTTTGATCTTCCAACCATACATGGTAGTCCTACACTGTCGAAACGGTGGTTTTCCACAT